GTCCTCCTGAGAGGGTACGTAAGTCCCAAAACATTTGAAGTAAAATTCTAATCTTCCACTTTTTTAATCGTAGTATTCTTGTCAGTTTAATTGGTGGCTCTATTTGCTTACAATCGCCAGCGGCCGAAGGGATGGTGTGAATCCAGCTAGGGTCCATGCAGGTAGCTAAGGTACTGTAAGTCCCCATGGTCCCTAGTATGGTGTTCTACTTTCAGTTGTTGGCGATCTCTAGCCATTTTGTAATATTGTATTGTCCAAATAGTGCTTTTGGTTTTAACTTTCTAAGCTAGTTTTAATTGAAGTTGCGATATTCTAGTTGTTTTACTGTCCTTCGTCGGCAGGTTTTTTATAATGTACATATATTTCATTTCAATATCAAATGTTCTCGTCACGATATGGCTGAAATATTGCCGAATATTAACTCACTCACTCATGCATATATTTTCGCATTAAACATCGTGTCCGAGCGTGAAGATTGAGGCGGCAAGAGACGAGATGTCACTTGTCAGTCACTTGACTTACATTACATGATCACACAAAAAGATGGAATAAGTAATTGTATATGTACGTTTGACATCTTTTATGAATGCTGTTGTTGATTTTATTCATTAGTTTATTCAATTTATTTAATGATTTCCTCGAAACATCATTACTTTGCTCTCTGACAATGTTATTGTGGACCCGCTGCCGAAGCATGCGTCGGAGAATTGTTTTTTTCAATAACATTGCAAAAAATAGTTTATAATTCTAAACCTGTCGATAATATATGGTCATTTGAAATTTAATAAGTGTTTTCAGACATTGTGAAAAGTGATAGATCTGATAAAAGAATGATATGTTAGTTAGGTTCCTAAAATTATATATAATTTTGATGTGACTACTGCCTGGCCGGTTTACAGGCCTACGGTGTCTGGGGACTCGTGACGTCTTGGCCTGTTTTCCGGCCTACGGTGTTGAATGGGTTAACTAAGGCCGAACTCTTCAGCGCTGGAGTTACGGAAGCGTCCCTAGTTACCACGTGAATTACCTCCCCTGCTCGCACCTGCAGACGACAACAACACAGGCGATCGATGCATGGGATCCGCCCCTTATACTACTTACAGTATCCCATGCATCGATTGCCTATGGACAACAATGTCAATGTCCCAACGGAAGGGTAACCGGCACTCAAACTTTTCTCCTTCCGAGATAGGTTTGATAGCTGACGAGGTGAAGGCGCGACAGAGTGTATTGTTCGGCCCGTTTTCGTCAACTGTCACCAACACGGCCAAAATACGGGAATGGGATGAAATCGCAACCAAGTAAGTTACTTCCGGGTTGTATGACAAAACGTTTTCAACATCGATTGATATTTATAAAATGTGTAGTGACTAGTTTGGAACATGAGCGACAACAAACCTGTAGAACCCTTATTATTATCAGGGATCATATACTTGAAAAACCCTCAAAATCCATGATTTCTGCAGGATGTTTCGCAACTTTTCCATCACAAAACAAACAGCGACCCAGTGCATTTATTAATCGTTAAATGTGAAATTTAAGGCCATAAAACTCTGAGTGGACACAAATTGTATTACCCAAACGACATAAAAAAATTAATAGCACATTTTACTTATTTGAAAAATCACAGCCAACTTGTGCCCACCATGTGTCAAGTATATTCCAATAGAAATTTCACTAGAATTCCAAACTTTTCCATGACATTTTGGAAAATGTCCATTTTCCATAGCTTTTCCAGGCCTGAAAAGGCAATATGAATTTATATTCCAAAACTTTTCCAGGTTTCCATGATCTGTACGAACCCTGTATAACATAAGTGAATATCATTCATATAAACAAAAAGATTTACAGTTATTTATGTTTTACTTATTTAAGACTAAACGCCTGTTCGTCCGTCCAGAGATTTGGAGCCGAGATACGGAAGAAATGGAACGATTACACGTGAGTGATTACCTGATTTTCTTTATATGGATAGCCAATTCAAAGCTGTGTTCAATATATACTGAGTCAAAAAAAGAAACTTTACAAAGTGTAATTTGAAAAATAATGAATAATGTTTCTCTGATGATACATCTATGTATCCGAAATGGGATCCCTATCTTTCGACTCTAGAAAAACGTTAGCAAAACCCACTCAAACCCATCCAATCGTCGTGCAAATGACGTAAGTGCCAAATCAGGTTTTGCACGCGCAGTCGATCACGTGATCTTTGCATCGAAGTTTTCTTCATATGCACGTGTTTGCATTGGCCTCAAGAATTGAAAAAACACTTTTAAACCACAGTTCTAACGGTACTTGAAATGCCACGATTGTCAAATGTGCAACGTGAACGTGCCGTTGGCATGTTGCAAGCGGGAAGATCAGTTATTGACGTTGCAAGAGCAATGGGATGCAGCCTTCGTACTGTGTATGACTTGCGAGGTCGTCTACAACAAACTGGCACCACTTCTGATCGCCCAAGGTCGGGTCGTCCACGTGTCACGTCACGAGCAGAAGACCGTCAAATCGTCCTACGTCACCTACGTGACAGATTTCTGCCGGCTACACGAACCAGAGCTGAGATGTTTAGAGGTCGACTGTCCTCACAGACCATTCGAAATCGGTTGCGGGCTGCCAATCTCCATTCTCGACGTCCATATCGTTGGCCAATATTGACGCCGTTTCATCAACGTCAACGTCTGCTGTGGGCCCAACGTCACCTCCGATGGACCCAGAGAGACTGGAATCGAGTCGTCTTTAGCGATGAATCCAGGTTTACCTGGAGACGACGTCGTGAACGGCATGCCCAATGTTGTGTACAGGAAGTCGACAGATTCGGGGGCGGAAGTTGCATGGTGTGGGGGTGCTTTCTGTGGGAACAACCGTTCCCGACTTCTGGTCATCCGTGGAAACCTCACAGCTGCTGCTTACCGCAACCAGGTGCTCACCCCTGAACTCGTTCCTTTCATGGCGGCTCATGGGGCCCAGGTCTACAGTTCCATCATGATAATGCTCGGCCGCATACAGCGATGTTGACACGAAATTTCCTTCAAAACGCTGGAATCAACGTCATGGACTGGCCATCGAGGTCCCCTGACCTTAATCCAATAGAGCACGTTTGGGATGCACTTGCGAGAAGGCTTCATGGTCCTAGGAACCAACCTCAGAATTTGCAGGAACTTGGCGCTGCCTTGCAAGAGCAATGGCGCAGAATCCCCAACCACGTGTTCACAAGCATCAGGCAGTCGATGAGGAGATGGTGTTTGGCAGTGGTGAATGCGCGGGGCGGCCATACACGATATTGAACTGAGAAATTTCGCATTTTTATTCTTGTGACTTGACATTCTGTATACCCATGTTTTGGAACGGCGGTGTAGCCTAATGGAACTGATTATGGCACTGTCAGTGTATCGAGTACATCACACAGATCTCAGCAATGAAATAATAACAATTTAACCATCTTACCATCTCTTGTTCTTTTATAGTGCCCTGAAGAAAGAAAGTGAAGTTTCTTTTTTGACTCAGTATATATGTGTGTTTTACTAGCTAAAGTAATTATCACCAATTTAAACTATACTCGAAATATAGAGACACAGCAAGATTTCAATATAATCATGTGTACGGTTTACCCTGAAAATGGTTGTTATTGATATGAATTTTTTAAATTATTTTTATCCTATTACTGTACAGTTGGAGTCAGCAACAATGATAAATAACAAAACACTCATTTTGTTGTTTCCCAAAAGATTGAAATATTTATTATAACAATAAATAAATATGAGATTTAACACACAGAGTATCGTTGTTACACACAGTAACAATTATCACCTCTTTTATAATTCTTTGTGAAAATAAAGTTTTCATTAAAATTCAGAAATATTTACATAATGAGGTATAACCTTAATAAAAATGTTGCAAGCTAGAACAGCAATAAAAGGGGTGTAAATAACATGAAAATTGATATAAATGCGATTTACTAAAACACTTGAAAACAAAGTGATAACTGATTTTATGCTGTATTTGCATTATAGTATAAATGATGGCATTTTCCAGATCCCAGGTGAAGAAGAAGGCCATTCATGTGCGGCGTGTGAGCTGCAAGACAGGCGGGGGTCCAGCACCAGTTGGTCTGTCTGACCTGGAGCACAAGGTTGGATTTGTGATCGATTATTAAAATGGTTATTTAAAAAATGATGAAATTTATGTCATTTTGGTCTTACATAGTTAATGTTAGTAAATCCTGATCTCATCTCATTCCAGAATCTCAAACATTTCCAGCATATCAAAAACATTTATGTAATAATTGTGTATTTTCCTGATTATAGGTTGTGTCAATGATTCCTCGGTGTCAAATTAAAGGAATAACTGGAGGATTAGAGAGTGAGGCGGATGAAAGTATGTGATAAATAATACACTACTATTATACTATACATATATCTATGATCATGTATGTCAAATTCATATCAACATTTCAACATCAATTGCAAAAGAATCACATTCAATAACAAATCAGTTTTGTTTTGAAACGAAATATTTACAGGAATTCGCTATTTCCGAGTATCAGGTTTCACATTGCAGTATAATGAGGGTAATGTTGTTTATTAAGGGTAATGTCATTTGCAGAAGTCTGAGGTCTTCCATTAACAGTTCGACAAAGGAAAATAGTTTATGTGATGAAAATGATACATTAATTTAATACTTTTAAAACTTTTTTGCAGTTTGCGTCACCTTGGAAACCAAAGATGCACTAGTGTGCACGGTTTCATATTTGAAAAAAAATATCTTCAATTGATCAATGCTTTAGAAGTAATACTGTATCATGGCAACATTCAGAATTGCACAAGCTTGCCGGTTTGGCATGTCATGGTATACACAATGTGAACCTTACACCTACTTCACAATTATTATTTTTTTAATTTAAAACATATTTATGTATTTACAGAATCAGGACTTACATTGACCAGCCTCCCTGTGGTGTCAAGTGAGTTTGTACCATCAACATCGGTACAGCAGCCATTAATCGCTACAGAGCTTGCCCTAGTACCCTCCACATGACAGCCATCAACAGAGCAGGCAGCCGAACAACCTGATAGTGAAACGCCCCTTACAACTGTAAATGGTAAAGTAATATAAAGCAATTTTGAATTAACAGACTATATTCTGGCAAAACGGGGTTTAAATATTCCTGATCATAATTTGCTTTGCAAGTACTGATTAAATTCTGATTGCATTACAATCAGGTCAAACTCACCTAAACCTTGCCTTTAAAACACCAAACGCACGCTCAATGGTGTTTCTTGTTTTAGTGTGGGCGGAGTTGTACCTCTCTTGGGGGCGTGTCTGCGGCTCAGTAAAGGGTGTTAGAAGCCATGGTCGACATGCACATCTGAAAAAAAGCATTACTCGATTGTTATACCAATATATCAACATATCAATTATGTCATGATTGATAGTTATAAAAATTCATTGTGTACTCTCTGTATGTATATGACAATTAAAGTGAGACTTCCACATTCCTAGACACTTTATTTTTGTTTTGAGACATACCAATTACCACATGTGTTGAATTAAATTCAAAACACCTCTTCCAGCTTGCATATATATGTACTTATATAATGTCATTATGCTGGACCAGCTATAGCGAGCATTACAATGATATTAGTCAGTAATATATGACCCCCAACAAATGTGAGCTAGAGTGTCACAATAAGGGGGTTAAAACCTCCACAACCTACCCAGAATCACCAAGGAGCCACCCATCCGGTGTCTGCTGTACCACCTTAGTGGCAATGCTACAGTTGCTCCACATGAGCAAGTCGTGGGTCGACCCCGGCCACTTGACTACCACATTTGCGAAGCTGTAGATAAGAAAACAAGGGATCATAAATACTCATTTCAATGGATTAAAAATATTATAGTCTTCTTGTATCAGAACTAAAGATGCTGGTTTTACTTACATCTTGATCGTATATGTTCATTTACATGTCTAGGTGTCTAGGCAAGTGCTAGTGACCCTTCGCTATTTAAGTGTGTAATATTCAATAAATATTTAATCTGAGATAAAACAATGTACGTTTTTTAATAAGTCAACATTCTTTTTAAAATCAAGTAGCATAACAGAAATATACGAGAATAAACATGATAACGTGTCTTTTAAATAAGTGAAATTGATAGACTATTTTTAACTGGAACTAGCATCAACATGTCAGTTCAAGGTCGTTGCTAATGTAAACAAACCCGTGACGCATCGGGATATTTTTACCTTTCGGTCTTACTAGAATAGGAAAATACTGAAATCATTATGCTTTTTCAGTTCTGGTTTATTAAAAAAGTGAAGAAAAGATCTTACCGAAGAGAGCTGTCACAAATAGCCTGAACATTCACGGCGTGATAGCCCTTCCGGCAAACAAACGCTGCTTCCTCGGCGATAGGGGGTCTTTTTATTGGGATCAAAGTCCCGTCAACCGCTCCAAGAACTTTGGGGAACCCGGATAGTTTGTAGAAGCCCTCTTTAACTGCTATCTGTTCCTGTGGTCCCCATGGAAAATGAATATTTTTTAGCACTGGCTGTGCTGTGCAGGGATCTCGAAACGGTTGACTTGTGAAGGCCGTGGAGGTCCCCGATCTCGGACAGGAAGCCACCTTTGCAGAGATAGCGTAAAGTCAAGAGCACCTGTGACTCTACAGAAAAGGCTTGTGAACACTGTGTACTCCTTCCGATTATTGGCTCACCCTTTTCTACAAGAGCTATAATAGCTTCACGTGACAAGCGGTAGCGAGAAATCAGTTCAAAATCATTCAGCGTGCCCAGTTGACTCGTCCTGTTTCTATAGACTCTCTGCTTCCTCAAACTTCTCTCAATCTCGATGTATAAAATAAAAGCAGTCGCCATATTCCCTACCCAACCTTAGAGACGTTAAGGTTGGGTCGGACCAACCTTAGTTATCAACCTTAACTTAAAGGAGAATACGAACGAAAACAAAACTTTTGATATATTGTAAAGGATATTCAAATGGTCACATTCAGTGGTTAAAATTGGACAAAATGTTTGTAAAATAGCAATTACACAAAAACGTACTCGTTTTTCCGCCTATTACGGAAACACCCGATAGTTAATGAGCAGAGGGGGTATCACGTGACATGACGTCATATGTGCCCGTTGCTGATAGCTTCCTCTTTGATTTTACCTCACAACTTAACAGTGTTCGTGGATTCTTAAGCAATAAAAGATGTTACTGATGTCATTTCTGAAATTGATGTAAGACCGTATTAATACGATCCGATTTTACATCTTGCAAGACAATCTTCCACTGAAAATGAAGAAGAAGAATCAAGCGAAACGGAGACACCGCTTGCGATCAAAATAAATTTAAAAATAGACCATATCATTTAACAAGATTACCAGGGGCGGATAGAGCTTTTTGAGAAAGTTATTCCCGAACAACTAGTGAATTATAGTGAGTGTGTGAGTTATTATTTAACCTCACATCGGCAATATTTCAGCCATATCGTGACGAAAACACTTGACATTGAAATAAAATATATACAGAGACTATAAAACTTGCCGACAAAGGACTGTAAAGCAACTAGAGTATCACAGATAGATATGTAAAACTAGTAATTGAATCTAAAACAGTTTAACTATAGGGGACAACACAATATAAAAATGGGCTATAGATCGCTAACAACTGAAGGTAGATCACCATACAGTGAATTATAGAATACTAGTCAGAACAACGTATGTTTCCCCATTGTTTGGTTATGGAAATAGTTATGGTACGTGGCCATAGCCTTCGAATGACATCTTGTCAGCCAATGAGAATACAATATAGAACAAACTTTATGGATAACAACTTCTTTTAACGGTACAAGAATCTGTATCGAAACGTCACACTCACGAATAAAAAGAAGTTGTTATCCATTAAGTTTGTTCTATATTGTACTTCCCAACTTCTAAAATGCCACTCAAAGAAATGAGAATACAGAACAACTTTCACGGCACACATTATTAACAAATAGCGAGTCTGATGCCGACGTGCGTAATTGGACAAAATGGAAAACAATGAAAGCAGCAAGTACTTCATGATTTGCCGTTGTATTCGGCAATGTTTCGTATAGACTGCATCTTATAGAGCTCCAAACCGAAAAGAACGTTATAGAAAAACATTTTCAAGCACATGTGAAATCTCTTACTGACTTTGATAATATATATCTCATGTGTACCAGTCGGACTGCCCCAGCTACAAAATGCCCCAGCAAATTTGGTCATTCATTCTAATTTGTTCAAATTTATTTATAAGGATTGAATATATGCCGTAAATGCATAGTTTTTGTCAACTTATTATGATATTATGTTCTTCATATAAAAGTAATTAGGAAGTAATATTTCTGATAAATGTTTCACTAGTAAACTCATAACTATGTATATACTTTTATATGAAGAACATAATATCAATGTTGACAAAACTATGCATTTATGGCCTATATTTATTCATTATAAATAAATTGGGACATCTTGACTACTCCACTGGGGCAAGTTGACCAAATTCGCTGGGTCTTTTCATAGCGGGTCAATTCGGGTCAATTCGACTGGCAATCGGACTTGATTCAATTTATGTTACAAATACCACTGACAGTAAGTTGTTACAAGGAATGATGGAGTATAAATGAATCTCGTGGGTACTTTTTCCTTCTTCAGCCTAGCTTGGGGACTTCCATACCCCATGCGTGCATGTCTCTTTCATATGCATCCGACTCGGAATGATTGGCGCAATTCTCCTGTCCTTGGTGGTTCTTTCCCATGTTCGATGATGCCGCATCCCCAGGCAACGCAAAACACCATCGTACCATTTAAAAAAATTGACAGGAACAACACAATTTGTACTATCGTAGCGCTTGGTCTTTGGCAATATGGCGGACACCAGGCACATATGACGTCACGAGCGGAAAGATCACATGGGTTCCAGCGAAATATGCATAATGGCCGCAGATAAGATTTACAGATACTGTTTTCGCTATTAAAACATAATTATATATAATTTTTAATTGAAAATTTGAGAATATGTTTCTGATGACATAATCTTTCACCCAGAAAATTATTGCAATTCACACGTATTCTCCTTTAAGGTTAACCTTAGTTAAGGATGTTTCGTGCAAAGGGAGGCTAACCTTAGTAAAGGTCTAAGGTTGTAATCTAGAGTTAACGTTGACCTTAAGAGATAAGGTTGTTTTGAACAACGGAGCCAAGCTTACCCTGTCTGTCAGCTGGGAACACAGCCATGACGTCATAAGCATTGTGACGTTACCGTCACTGTACATTTGGCGCCCGGTCAGCTGGGCGAACATGGCCTCAGAGTGGATCGAGATGTAAACAAATAGTTCGTTTTCTGTTTGTCACACATCTGTGGATCATTTTTTCACATAAATGAAGCTAAATGTCCGTAACTTCCATGTTGTATGACATTTTGCACTCAATATTATTGTCACCTGATCATGAAAACCTCAACACTAAAACAAATGACAAAATGTCTGAAAATATTTTCAATGCGTTTTATTTCTCCTCAAACACAACATTAATTCTCTCCCAGAGTTTACATTCTAGGCACGACGACGGCACACAACACCTTCACCGTCACTGTCTGCACCAACATCTTCACCGAGCACCATGTGACACCAGGAGATCCACCAGTTGACGATGTCCCCCGTTTCTCGCCACGTCAGCCGCTGTCTGCTCGACGTTGTTCCTAGCGTTGACGTCCACCAACCTCATCTCCAGTATCAACCGCACCGTCCACGCATGTCCTCCCTGACAGGCGAGGTGAAGGACGTTGTTACCGCCAGAGTCCCGCAGTGACAGATCCGCGTAGTTACAAGCAAGCAGCCCCACGATATATCTATGTCCCTGCTTTGCTGCATCCATCACCGGTGTTCTGTTCCCTCCTCCTTCACCGTTGACGTGCACCCCATTCTGGGACAGTAAGAACCGCACCGTCCTCGCATGTCCTTCCTGACAGGCGTGGTGAAGGACGTTGTTACCGTCAGAGTCCCGCAGTGACAGATCCGCTCCTTTCTTAGCAAGCAGCTCCACGATATCCCTATGGCCATACCGGGCAGCATCCATCACCGGTGTTGTGTTCCCTACATCTTCACTGTTGACCTGCACCCCATCCTGGGACAGTAAGAACTGCACCGTCCTCACATCTCCTCCCCGACAGGCGTAGTGAAGGACGTTTTTACCGTCCAAGTCCCGCAGTAACAGATCCGCTCTTTTCTCAACAAGCAGCGCCACGATATCACTATGGCCATACACGGCAGCATCCATCACCGGGGTCATTCTCCCGTCTCCAATACCGTCGATGTCGTCCGTAGTCTGATCCAGGACACGTCTCACCTCGTCCACATTCCCTACCCAGCAGGCAGGACGGAGGCCGCGAACATGTGGGCGTACGCGGTCCATAGGTGTCACTGTAACAGAAACTTGTGCATTGTACACATGGTGTCACTGTGCTGTGCGTCAGTGGTCAAATATGAAATGAGGTGAGGTAAAATTGGGTTTAACATCGTGCTTGAGAATATTTCACTCATATTACGACGCGCATGCGTGTATATGTGTATGTGTGGCTGCTTGTACTAGCCCAGACTTTAGCTGGTTTCATAGTGCTAGCCCCCTGAGATACCATGCCGCACTGAAGCATGAATACCCCACTCAGACACATTATAATGACTCCGAGCCGACCAGTCTTTGTTTTACCCATTAATGCCGAGCGCCAGACAGGGACCAACAAGTACCATATTGTAACGTCTTTTGGTATGGCGCGGTTGGGGATCGAACCCGCGACCTTCCGCTTTCTGGGCGGAAACTCTAACCACTACACCATGGAGGCGGTCAAATATGAAATGAAGCTAGACAAGCTAAATATAATGAGCAGAAAGCAAAACAAAAGATCTATTTGCTAAACACAATTTTCTGTGAAAACACGTTAGGTTTGATTGAACTGTAGGTTAATATAGTCGGGCCGTCTGGTTTTCGATCAGGTTTTAGCAACGGAAGTGTCAACCCCTTGTGTATTCTATATATTACTGTTGCGGTAGAATGTTCTAAAATCTATAGAAATAGATCATTTGAAATCGATATCAATCATAACATATAAAATAATATATAATTGCTAAAGTATGTTTTTGTATTTTCAAAAAGTTTTGTCCAAAAAGTGATTCGAAGCCCTGTGGTTTTGATGTGGATATTCTACATACTTGGCTGAGGAGGGTTGTGGCCGATGTTCTGATTACTCATGGTTGTGGTGGTCGGTCGAGGTCTGCCCGCACTATCTGGAACAGGAACCAGATGCGTTGTGTCATCGTAGTAATGATTCATTGATTAAATCATGACATGCACAATAGACTGTCACACTTTTCTTCTTTTTTTTTTATGCTTGTAACAGTTTATTCCTCATTTGGATACAGAAACATACGTCAGTAACGTAAACCAACCACATTCATAAGGTTATCTGTCGTTGTATTATTGGTCACAGGAATGAAACTCAGAACTGATCGAATCCAGAAATTCAGTGAACATTTGGTATTATATATGTCATAGGTGAGTTGGTTTTCGCACAAATTGGCTAAATTCTTCGACAAAATGTTATTTCTGACATATTTTTCAACAGACACATTTTAAGCGTGACAGTTTCGCAACAGTTGGACTGGCATTTATATCTTAATTGGCTGGCAGAAAGAATATCTAGTTCTGCAGTTGTCATAACTGGGAGTGTGATACTGTTCTAAAGTAGAAAACACATTCCTTTCGTCAGAAAACCATCTGGTTTATGTCTAAACGTCAATAGTTACAATTTTCAAAAAATCAAAATATTTTTCACACACATAAGACATTGTCTGTGGCTTCAGTTACATAGTTGGTTTAAATAAAGGAAAGTCCTTTCAAATACGCCGCTAAGTAATCAACCCTTGTAATTGACAATGCGTATAGAGAAGCCATAAGATTTTGCTTGAAATTATCCTTGAGATGCAGTTCTTGGGAAATCTGTTCATATGTTGATCACCTATGTCAAACGTCTGTGTCAGCTGTAGACTTTATGTAATGACATGTATTTACTCAAGCAGGTATTAATATAGGCCAGTGAAACGAAGTAATGTCATCCTTATGTCGAAGAAGTGGGTGGAAAGAAACGTAAGTCCCTACTCATTAGATCAAGGCCACTGCGATAAGTTTTGTGTTTTTGGATTTGCAAAACAATACATTTTTTTCTTTTAACTTATTTTATTTTTCGTGAAACCAAAGTCTTCCGCCATAAACGGCGGTCCTTACATGATGACATATACAAATACATGAACATAATCAGATATCCAACATACCAGGATGTAACATAGTTAGACCAGTGAAATATCAGCCTGCATAGGGTGTTGTATGTGGTGCCATACCCAACATATCATGTCTTATATAGCGCAACATGCAGCATGCAGTGTTGCATATTGCGTCATACCAGACATTGCATATTGTATATGGGGTCACATCCAACATATGCTGCATATTGCGAAACATCCAACATAAGTTGTATAAAGTGTCATATCCGAAATATCGTATTGTATATAACATATCAAACAACCTATCGTGTTGTAAATAGCACACTTAGCTCAGACAATGACATTATGATTTATCAAGATCATCCATTGCGTCACTGTCACTGCCATGTTTTATATCTAGTTTGCCTCTGTAGTATCTGTGATTATAACAACCGGCACCCATATCTAGACATGACCCTGGGCCTGATTGATACAAGTTAACTTGACAATACAATTCTCGATACACAATACAATATGCTTGCCCATGTCTATGTTCTCTTGTGATGTACATGTACTGGACTTCTGTCGAAACATGTGTTCAGTCTGGATATGTAACAAATTTATATATTCAACAGTTGAAATTACATCATGATACTATTCTCCTGTACAAACACAAGTCGGAATGACTTTGGATCGCAATAACAATCAGCGACTGTCAAAGCATTAAATAAACTGTGAACTATAATATTTCATACTGACAATAAATCACTCGTGACTTGTGATTGATAACTGTGACTGTAACTGTACTTGTATCTGTATCTCTAACCTGTACATTTGAATCATACGATCCTGGGGATATTCCGTCGGAATGAATCCGGATCGACTGTCGGATTCTCCGAAATGTCAGGCAAAATCCGGATGAGATATCACATTTTCAGGTGTCATGCATATCGGTATAATTCGGTTTAACTTGTTTTCTTCGTTTTGTAAACACTGAAGAAATTCCGCCGGAATGAATCCGGATCGGATGTCGGATTTTCGGAAATGTCAGACAAAATCCGGATGTCAACAAAGTTGAAAATAAACCCTTAAATATCACTTATCCACAACTAGATACTTAGAGAGTGGACCAAGTGTTGATAAAAGCATTGTTAATTAAAAGTTATACAATACAAATGTCTTACAATGTGAAAATGAGAATTTAGCTTTGACCTAACCCTGGAACCCTACCTTGCTTGTCAAAGTCAAAATTGCCACGCCGACTCTAAACCTTGACAGCTCTTTTTATAGGTTACCTAAGGTCACATGATACGCAAACTTGACGTCATAAACTCCCAAGATGGCAACTGTATGTCACCCTAATAAAATGCAGTATGAGTTAAGAATTACAGTTCGCTCCACTATCATGTATTTAAGAAATACAGTTCGCTCTACCACCATGTATAGTGTAATAAAGCACACTTTCGCTCTGAACTATTATAATTAAAGTACGAGGACGCTTAGAAAGTTTTAAATTTGGCATCTTAGAAAAGAAATACATAGTGGTAGAGCAAACTGTATTTCTTTTCTAAGATGCCAAATCTAATACTTTCTAAGGATAAGTACGATCAATTTAAGGCAGAAAACAAACGACGGTGTCGGTGACCTAAATTAAGAATCTTCGCACAGGGTTAACTGGCGCGCTGACCTATTGATGTGTCTGCCCCCCTACGTTAAGACGAACGTTGCCAGAGAATCAGATGATAAATAGTTTGATGACGGTTTACGTTCGGATTAAATATCTTCTCTAAATTATTTTAATTACATCTGTCATTAACGTAAACCATTAGAACATCGCATTTCTACTACCAACGTATGTTTAGATCACTACATCCAGACGAAGCTGAGTAGTCAAGCGACATTCCGCGATTGCATTGTGGGAATGTAAACATTGCGAGCGTTACCGTGTCGCTGAAAACTTGTGAGTCGAATTGAGACATTTTAAACGTCGGAAAACATAAACGTAATGTTTCCACCAGTGATGTTAGGCGAGTGAAGAAACTGCAAACCAAGAAACGGGATGCAACGGAGTAGTTTACTGTAGGAGGCTGTACGAGGCGATGACAACTGACATGCATCGTGACGCCGCTTACATTGTGACGTAATGTAAAATGGTTCGATTACGATGGGGCACACTAGAATGGCGCAGTGACGGGATAACGTCATTCAATTGTAACGTCATAAAAAAACTATACCTTTATTGTCTGATAATGTATTTTTTTTCGATTGTTCTAACCGCTAGGCATCTTAGAAGCTGGACTCTTGGATGGAATCACTTTGATGGCTGAGAACTTGATTATCTCTGTACTTGAAGCCAAGAGTAGACATGAATTTTTGTTACAATATACACTGAGTCAAAAAAGAAACTTCACAAAATGTAATTTGAAAAATAATGAATAATTTTTCTCTGATGATACATCTATGTATCCGAAATGGGATCCCTACCTTTCGACTCAAAACCCACTCAAACCCATCCATTCGTCGTGCAAATGACGTTAGTGCCAAAACAGGTTTTGCACGCGCAGTCGATCACGTGATCTTCGCATCGAAGTTTTCTTCATATGCACGTGTTTGCATTGGCCTCAAGAATTGAAAAAACACTTTTAAACCACAGTTCTAACGGTACTTGAAATGCCACGATTGTCAAATGTGCAACGTGAACGTGCCGTTGGCATGTTGCAAGCGGGAAGATCAGTTATTGACGTCGCAAGAGCAATGGGATGCAGCCTTCGTACTGTGTATGACTTGCGAGGTCGTCTACAACAAACTGGCACCACTTCTGATCGCCCAAGGTCGGGTCGTCCACGTGTCACGTCACGAGCAGAAGACCTTCAAATCGTCCTACGTCACCTACGTGACAGATTTCTGCCGGCTACACGAGCCAGGGCTGAGATGTTTAGAGGTCGACTGTCCTCACAGACCATTCGAAATCGGTTGCGGGCTGCCAATCTCCATTCTCGACGTCCATATCGTGGGCCAATATTGACGCCGTTTCATCAACGTCAACGTCTGCTGTGGGCCCAACATCACCACCGATGGACCCAGAGAGACTGGAATCGAGTCGTCTTTAGCGATGAATCCAGGTTTACCTGGAGACGACGTCGTGAACGGCATGCCCAATGTTGTGTACAGGAAGTCGACAGATTCGGGGGGGGGGGGGGAGTTGCATGGTGTGGGTTGCTTTCTGTGGGAACAACCGTTCCCGACTTCTGGTCATCCGTGGAAACCTCACAGCTGCTGCTTACCGCGACCAGGTGCTCACCCCTGAACTCGTTCCTTTCATGGCGGCTCATGGCCCAGGTCTACAGTTCCAGCATGATAATGCTCGGCCGCATACCGCGATGTTGACACGAAATTTCCTTCAAAACGCTGGAATCAACGTCATGGACTGGCCATCGAGATCCCCTGACCTGAATCCAATAGAGCACGTTTGGGATGCACTTGGGAGAAGGCTTCATGGTCTTAGGAACCAACCTCAGAATTTGCAGGAACTTGGCGCTGCCTGCAAGAGCAATGGCGCAGAATCCCCAACCACGTGTTCACAAGCATCCGGCAGTCGATGAGGAGACGGTGTTTGGCAGTGGTGAATGCGCGGGGCGGCCATACACGATATTGAACTGAGAAATTTCGCATTTTTATTCTTGTTACTTGACATTCTGTATACCCATGTTTTGGAAAGGAGGTGTAGCCTAATGGAACTGATTATGGCACTGTCAGTGTATCGAGTACATCACACAGATCTCAGCAATGAAATAATAACAATTTAACCATCTTACCATCTCTTGTTCTTTTATAGAGCCCTGAAGAAAGAATGTGAAGTTTCTTTTTTGACTCAGTATATTGGTATATATTTGTAAAATGTGGCTGATCAAATGTAAGTGTTCTGTTTCTGATCTGACATCCCCAGTTGTTTGGAATAGCGGTTAACAAGTGTTTATACTCTTAGAAAGATCCATGTATTTTGTATCTTAGTTATACATTTTCAAAAA